CATTCGCCGTGAAAATTTTCCCAGCCTGTCGGTAGCTTCTTAGTTTATTTCTTGATATTATTTATTCTGGGTGTGTTTTCAAAGCGAGATAACTCTTAGTATACATTAGTTATTCACTTTTACATTGATGGTTATAGACTCAGACAAAAACAAATTTCTGTAGATATGATTATAGGTCACATTTTGTGGTATTTTTTTCTACACACAACATTTGTTTCCAGGTTAGATTTGGACTTTGATGTCTGAAATTGTCATTTTTATTAAACTTTTGGGACATATGAAGTGAATAGTGATTTCATTCTCGGGCGGATGTCAATTTAAGTTCTTTGCTTAGGCTATATCCTCAAGAAACCCAAGTATTCGTCTAATCTCTCGCTAAATTTCGTCTTCCTTTATAGGGAGTGTGTATTTTTTAGCGAAGTTGTTCTCTCAATTGTCTTCCATATTATAGGAGTGTTTTCTTGCGAAGTCGTTCGCTAAATTTGGTGTTCCATTATAAGATAGGAGTCTTTTTTTAGCGAAGTCGTTAAATTTGGTCTTCCATTTGTCCAGGAGTGTTTTAAGCGAAGTTGCTTAATTTTTTCTCCTATATTATTGTTTGTTTTTTAGCGAGGTCGTTCGCTAGATATTGTGTCTCTTATTATAGGCAGGAGTGTTTTTTATTTTAGCGAAGTCGTTCGCTAAATTTGGTCTTTCATTATAATATATTTGGGTTTTTTGGCGAAAACATTCGCTTAATTTTGTCTCCCATATTATATGTCTGACAAAGCCACAGCATTTACAGTCAAACGAATTTTCTAATGATTTTTACTCATGTATATAGCAGTAAAAATTGGCTAATTAAGCTCACGTGCTTCCGCCTTGTTCACGTTTTTAATCTCTGTCATTGAATGAATCTTTGAATGAAAGTCCGTTGAATTTGAGTAAGTCATCTTTCCTCATTATTAGTACATGGTTACGGTGTGTGAACCAAAGTTGGTTGTTTCTTTCTTTTTTGTTGAAAAGTTGACTTTCACCATGTGTCACACCATTTGTGTACAGATAATGAAAAGATGTAAGAAGGACTCTAAAACAGTGTATTCCATGTACCGATGAACTGACCATGCAGCAGTGATGGGCTCCAGAGAGTTTACCATATCATCAAGGGAAACAACCACACATATTGTCGTACTTACTAAAACATGAACCGACATGAAATTTTAAAATAATTACTTGTTTGGCCCAATAAGCTTGCTTTCGCAAAATAGTTTGAGGTCGTTTCCTGTCGGGTTCCTGGTCTTTTCACGATTTCATTGGCTGTTTCCTGATCGTTTCATGTCGGTTCATGGTTTAGTAAATACGGCTTAGCGTTTCAGCTTATTCAGATGTTCAACACAATTACCTGTAGCTTGGATTAGACGATGTGCATATGCGATTTTGACATATAAATGTGGTTATTTCGGATTGTCATTTCTTGGTTTTAGACATGGGCAAATAAATTCTATTATTGGTCGACTCCAGTGAAATATATAATCCTTGTATCGGAGGACGTTCAATATTATGAATACTGATTTGTATTTACTGTATCAAGGGAAATAACCACGCATAGAATAATCTTAATGATCTCCTGCCTTTCCACTGGTATTCGGTGTACAGAAGTTCTGATCATACTTTTACTCCCTAATATCTGAAAGGAACAGATTAGCGTGTGACCAATCTTAGCTAAGTCTCAAAATAGGGAATCAGCTAATCAGTAATACTGTATTTTGTTTAAGTATATATCAAGACCCCAAAAAACCCTGAAAATGGCAAACCTATCCCTTTAAGCTTTAAAATCTATGTAGTTTACCATTATTCTATTGATTCAATAATTCCGTTGTTCGGAAATGGAAGGTCTAATGTATACCCTGGATTTTTTTGGGAGGTTTTTTTTTTACATTTTATGTGAAATGAGACTTGTCTTGCTTTAGACCACCACTTTCTTATTTTGTTTTCATAGAGTTTCAACTATAATTTACGCCTTTTTTGATAATAAAAACTCTATACAAAAAAGCGAAGTGTCCCTTTAAGCCAAATCCTTTAAATTTTACTTGCTGTGTTTTTAGATAATGCAAAAAGATACTATGCACATTAATCGGTTTTCGGTAACCTCTAGGTAACAGATTTTATTTTAATTTCGTGATTGAAATTGCTTCCTTCTTAACATCATGGTTGTCTGTTGACGATGCCGGTCAAATCCGATTTGTAATCATCATAGAAGTTAAAGATTTAAAAATTAAAAACCTTTTATAAAAAAAGATTGAATTTTCGAACTAACAAGCGAGTTACTGGCCCTAATGTATAATATTAGATATGGATTAACTTTAAAAAGCGTCTTTAAAGATGGCGTGACGGTAATGTTATTATTTGTCTATTAGTCAAATGGTTTATTGATGAGTTCGTATATACAGTGTAACACAATCGATAATTTGTCTTCAGTAGATTCACTACATAGTGCGACAGACATAATCTCATTTGAAAGCTATAGTTTAAATAATATAACCACAAGGACGTAATTTTAAAATGGTTAAAAACTCATGATGAATTGTTCGAGGACGACTATCTTAGTTTGTTTGTAAGTGTTATATTTTTTAATCCATTAGTTTCCTTCTTCGGGCATATTTGTACTATGATATAGATATCGATTTGTTAATTATTTTCCGTTCATATTTGTCTTATATTTTTTTTTATCCGGGTAATGTATTGTTCAAATATGTTGTTACCTTTTTTCTTCCTTCGTCATGATAAGCTTATGAAAATAGCGATGAACTGGTTGGCTAAGTAGATCAAAAGCTTATAAATCAGTTGACACACTAATACGGTCACAAGGTAATTTGGTCACAGTAATACTGTCACACAATAATTTGGTCACAGTCATACGATCACACGGTAATTTGGTCACAGTAATACGGTCACGCGGTAATTTGGTCACAGTCATACGGTCACACGGTAATTTGGTCACAGTCATACGGTCACTCGGTAATTTGGTCACAGTAATACGGTCACACGGTAATTTGATCACAGTCATACGGTCACGCGGTAATTTGGTCACAGTCATACGGTCACACGGTAATTTGGTCACAGTCATACGGTCACTCGGTATTTTGGTCACAGTAATACGGTCACATGGTAATTTGGTCACAGTCATACGGTCACAATGTAATTTGGTCACAGCCATACTGCCACACGGTAATTTGGTCACAGTTATACGATCACACGGTAATTTGGTCACAGTCATACGGTCACACGGTAATTTGGTCACAGTCATACGGTCACAAGGAAATGTAGTCATACGGTCACAAGGTATTTTTGTCACAGTCATACGGTCACACCTAATTACCTACATTCAAAATATATGCTAAGCAGGACGACTTGAAAGTAATGTGATTGATAAATAAATTGTTTAAAAACATTCTATTTCAAGAAAAAACGTCTCAATTTATTTAACTAAAAGGTGAATTCAAACACTATAATAAAAAGTTTCCAATATCAAAGTTTGAAGTTTTCTTTCCACACAAACACAGGTATTTTTGACGCTGTATTTTGCATGTTATCATCTACTAAAACAACAGATGAAATGTGATCTATTTGAGCTAATCGCTGAAACGTTGTATAATTTTTGGAGTTGTGATTCCGCGTTGCAAACAGGTTGATCAAGCTAGTCAAAGAAAATAATATTAATCGACGTAAAATTTATTGCAGTGGATATTATTATAGCGAAACATTTGTCTTCTCTGGATTGTATTGAAAACAATGATTCTTTTTGCAATTTGTTTGTCTGCTCTGAATCGCTTTCAAAGAATTTTAATAATTATATCGTTGTTAAAGTCCCTAGGGTACAAGGAACATAATGAAGACTAACTAGCTAGAATAGTTGGCAATAATTATCATGCACGTTTCCCTCTCTATTCTCTGCGGTCGTGAAGATATTTGACTCAATGTGATTGACATCAGTGCCATTTAAAATGATATTTGCCAGAAGTTAAAAAGTATATGCACCTTTTTAACAGGGTTTAAAATGAGAAATATCAAAATGTCAATAACGTGTCCAAATTCGGAGGGCACTATAGATCAGCCTGAGTACAGAGAGGTTATTTCGGAATGAAGTAGTTGTGTGATCTTTTTCTTATAGTACCAAGTGGTCGTGGGATCTTTTCCTGATAGGACTAAACTGTTTAGATACAAACTTAACTGAGATCAAAAGGAGTGTCTGAGAACAATGTGGCTTTGAGGCGACCTCAATTGATGCACATGCGTAAGACACACGTGGAAAATTCATCTTTCAGATGAGAAAGAAATCCGAGGCCCCGTATTAGTCTTGAACTTAATTGCAAAATAGTAAAATCATTATCGGTCAGTAACAATAGCAGATCGTGAGTAGGCCAACCAACCAATCTGTCTATTATTCTTCTTCAAGACAATACAAACAAAACAAAACAGTTAATGGTAGTTGTCATAGAATATCATTTTATTACCATATTAATCATTTAAATTTAAATATATGTCGTTTCGTAAATTTAATTTTTCGCTTCCGTCAAAGTTTGGCAATTTGTACGATCATTGTTTTTATTCATGTTAATGGCTGGATTTTGACACGATTGAAAAATACTTTATTTTATATTTTTTATATAATATAACTTGTGCTCAATAAAATCAGAACAAATGAACATTCGTGTTTTGTTGACCATAAGAATTGTTTCAACGTGTATTTTGAACTCATCGTTTGCATTCCGTAACATCTTTTTCAATCAATGGACAATCCAGTGAGAAGAATTTATCGTTTTTATTCCATCGACAACAGAAAACGTGGTGGTGAGTTATCTCCCGCTTTGGACATATAGTGACGTCATCTTTGTTTATATTGAATACTTGGTTGTATATCACCGTTTTTACAACTAAAGTTACATTCCTTATAAACATTGTATCACAAAGTATAGCCCTTTATCGTATATCAATGTGCTATATTGCTGTATTAACCCAGGATGTCGTTTGAAACTCCACGCACTGTCAGAGAAGCTAAAATGCTTCGCGGAAACGCCAAGAGAAAAATAACCAATCTCGTTAAAGATGGACTCTCGCTTTTACAGTCGGACGAAGGGATTCCCTGTGATGAATATAAACTCTTAGCCGATATGATCCGAGAACATTTAGACACATTACAAGTAACAATTGATCATGTAATTAAATTCAAATGTGAAGAACTAAAGGTTGCTGAATATAAATCCGAAGAAGACTTAGATAACGCCGAACAAGAGATAGCCATGGTTGAACAGGCACATTTCTGTGAAGCTCAAGACAACGCAATGCCAATAGTTCGTGATTTAATACGTCGTGCTAAACGACTACTAGACGCTGAATCACCTACTATTCAACCCCAGATCAACCGATCCAACCAACCCGTATCGTCACATGCTCGACTAGCCAAACTTAAGTTTGCTACCTTTTCTGGAGATTTGCGAGACTACAAATTATTTAAGAAACAATTTCTTCACTACTCACAGCATTTAGATAAAATTGAATGTTTTTACCAATTAGTGGAATCAATAGAGAAAGTAAGAGAAAAGAATAAAATAAAATCTTGTATTAGTACGACTAGAGCATGGGAAATTTTAGATGAATTTTATGGGGATGATGATCAAATCGTAGAAACTTTACTTGGAGATTTAGAGAGAATGACTTCACATGATACGAAAGGACATATTAATATATCTGCAATGGAAAAGTTCGTTGAAGCTCTTTGAGTCGCAAATGGATTCTTTAGGGAAATCAGCAGATCTGAATGGACGAGTTCTTGTCTCACAAGTTCGAAGGAAACTCCCAGAAGAGCATCGTATATCATACCTAANATGTGTTAGAGATGAAGGTTTAGAAGACACTCTGTCTGGACTCGTCAGATGGCTACATTCACAACTAGTTCTTCTGAACCTAAA